CCAAGAAGATGGAAAATCAGGCTGCAGAGAGCTGGCCACTATGGGGCTAGCCATCCCCCTGCTTGAGGCACTCCCTCCCCACCCCAGGCCAAGTGGCAGAACCAGGTCTTCAAGGTCCTTCAGAAGGCCAGGAGTGGGGGCCAATCGCACCTCTGGGGGCAGAATGTTCCAAAGAGGGGCCACCGCAGAGAAGGCCTGCCTTCTGGACCCTGCTAGACGGAGTTCTTTTACTGAGGGGGTCCGAAGCATGCCCTCTCTGTGTGAACAGGTGGGACGGGTTGAAGTCATGGGGGAGAGGCGGTCCCTTAGGTAACCATGTTGCCTCCACTTCCCTGTCTGTATGCTGTTTGCTTATCACCTTTCCTTCTACACACACATCTCCCCACTCTGTCTTAGCGTTTTTGTAAGGTATACCTCAACTATGAGAGACAAAATGGGGGGAAAAATCCAGAAAATCACATTGTCTGATTTGTATACCTCAACTATGAGAGACAAAATGGGGGGAAAAATCCAGAAAATCACATTGTCTGATTTGTATACCTCAACTATGAGAGACAAAATGGGGGGAAAAATCCAGAAAATCACATTGTCTGATTTTTAAAGAATCGTTGTGTATTTAACTCAAATCATTATGTATTTAACTTGAAGTTTGCTACAATAGGTTCCATTCTTAACTATGGGTTGTCTGTAAACTGGGTGTTTTTAACCCGGGACTACCTGTATTCTAGTTGCACGATAACAACCTTAAGTCCAACAGTGGCTAGCTTGTGGCTCTCCTATTTTGTCAAATGACAGCATCCAATATCCCATGACATGCACCATTCCGGCTGTGGCTTGTGAGAACTATAGATCAGTAGCATCTGTAGGGCCACAGGTTTCCCACTTTTTGTTTTATTCTTCATGGCAAAGCTCTCAATTCTGGAAACAGATCCTGAACATATGCAGATTCCAAAACAATGTAAGTACAGTTCCGGTTACTCTTTAGCTTTGGGTCATAATCTATGGACATTTCTGATAAGATGCACTGAAATGATATGTGAAGCCCTATCTTCTACATGCAAGCAAGTTCCAGTTTTGCTGCGAAAGCACCCACTGACAGAAAGGTCATCATACAAGAGCTAAATATAAGATTTAGATATAAATATAATGCCAAGAAAGGCCTTAATCAATCCATTCAAGATTACGCTGAAGCTCATCAATTCTACCACCTTATTTTGATAAGTGTCCAAGACTGATTTGCATTATCTCAATATATCACGGATCAACGGATGCTAAAACCTGGACAGTCATTGAAAGAGGTGACCTGTATATAGAACAGTTGTAAGCAGCTATTCATGGATTTTTTTTTTACCATTCAGGCAACTAATGAGAAGGATCAACTTGCTGACAGTTCAGATTACAGGGAGAGGAATATACAACTAATTCATTATTCTTACATATAAAGTATGTTTTCTTCCAGCATATTAATATGGTGCTTCAAAGAACTACTGTGAAATGTACGTAGACAAGTTTAAGATTTCTCTCACATAATCAATACTAATAACAGCAACCTTGGGTGACCTCTGTCTTAATAGTCAACACTAAACTTGATATAAAACAGATAAAAATTAAGAATAATAGCCCAGTTGTAAGACCCCATTATTTACTCCAGAAGATCCTAGCAAAGAATTCATTATCAGCTTAATGGTACAGAACACAATATTCTGGTATAAGGTTATAGAATATAAGGATGAAAATTCTAAAGCTATAAAAGATCTCAAGTAAAACTATAACCCCCTCCTTACATACATAAACATACTTTAAAGATAGAGACAAAATCATGTGAATCTCTAGTAATATCTTACCTGTGTCTTACTTTTTCCCTCATGTTTGATGCATAACTGTATTTATTGGTAAAATATGAGTAATATACAATCTATTTAATATTCAATCTATTCAGTGTATATTAAATACAATCTATTTAATATTCTGACTAAGCTATATAAATTTCTAGCTTTAGAATCTGCACAGGTCTAGTAAGTGTTTGTTCTAAAATTTACTCAGTTGTTCATAAAACAACAGGCAGTCTTTTGTGGAGGGGGATTAGGAGGAAAAGAAGAAAAAGACACATCACGATGTTTTAAAGGATTATTTATGACACAAACCTGAAATATATTCAGATGTGCTAAGTTATAAAATAGGTATCAAAACATTCAGTTACACAAACATTCAATTATTAACAAATTCATTCATTTCATTTGGAAGAACAAAATCAGACGATATACAAAGCAGAAACTTAAATTTAGAACAACACAAATATACTAACATAAAAATATACAAACTCCAATTCGGAGTGTTTTCTTGGGCTGAAGATTTACAAGCACCATTATTTACATAAGAATCTATAATTTAAACTTCAACTGTCAAAAGATTAGTATCTTACTGGATCTAGGTTTGGTTGTAATAATAATAGTTACCACGCAGTGGCAGATATTGCATGAACAAGGAATACAGTGAGCCTTAGGTGAATGACAACCAAAACCAAAAATTAAGGTATGAAATTACAAACATGTCACACTGTCCATATTCACTACAGTATTCAATAGTTGAACTTTTCTATGTAACTCAACATACAAAGTCAAAATACAAAGTTAAAAATGATAGTGATACTCAATTCCTCATTCTTTTGAATCCTGAAGCAACCTTGTCTTGACTACTAGGCAAGATGTTCAGTATCTCCAATCCAAAATATATTCCATAAAAGACCAGAACAAGCCTTTTGTCAATATAGAGACCACTCCAAATTTGCAAGTACATATAGAGATAATAGGGAGAGGGGAAGAGGAAAAAATCAGAATCCCTGGTTTACAGCTGGGTTCTTTGTTCTAAAATAGATTTTTCTTAAAAAAAAAATTGTACCATGAATCATTATAAATCCACTTCATCATCTGAAGAAGATAACTTGTACCATTGCCTTTACGCATTTAACACCTAAGATGTTTTGAGTGAACATGTTTTAAGTGTTACAAGGAAAGCAACCTTTCCCGACTTCGTACCCTCCAATATGCTGGACTCCCAACTCCTAGAAGCTATACTAAGGGCCTCCGGAACACAGCAAGTTCAACCAGCTGCAGTAGAACTTACCTGTCCCAGTGCCTGCATACTAGTAAATGTTTTAACGAAACAGTACATTTTCCCAAAGACAAAATTAAATTTCAGAGTTTAATTATGACAGCCTTTTCAAGCGGCCTTTTGACCATTATATCTGCTTGGAAAAGGTAATACCTGCCTTAGTTGGAAAACTAACTTGGCAACTATTTCAGAGCACAGTGTAGCAATTCAAGTCAGTTGTGTTTAGGTTAGTATTGTTTAACAAGATTGGAAGAATAGTGGAAAAAAATCTGTCACTTTCAGTTCAGGTGCTTTAACACCCCACACCATTATTTCTGAAGTTTCCTGGAAAAAACTGAATGGCATCCTACACTGTGAAAATCCATAAAGAAATGCAACATACCACATCTTATATTTTCAGCAATAGTTAAGCTATTATATATTATATCAAAAAATGCTACAATTAGGACCTGACTGGTATTATAAATAAGATGAGGTGCATTAATTTTCAAGCCATGATTAGAAAGGCATTCTCAACTGGGTTGGCTCAAATTTCAACAACAAGCTGGCTTTGGATAAAAATATTTTTCCAACTAGTTTTCATTCATGCGTAAGTGCAAGAAAGTCAGGAATAAATCAAGACTCTTCATGCTAAATAATGCCTTCTTGGGTTCTACTATTCTTCTCTCCCTTCATTTCAGATGTTTCTAACCCCCTTTGCAACTTTTCAGCCCAAAGTATATGTATTTCCAAGTTAAAATTTATGGCAATCTAGGTACTAGAAGGCATAAAAGCTCTGTTTTAGTAAGAGGCTCAGTTTCCACAGCCCAGAAAAGTTGACTGTACCACTTAAGATTCAACCATGAGTGTGGCTATATGTTTAAATGCCTTTGTTAAACAGCAATTGCTGTAATAAAATAGCTTATCAGAGAGAATTTGTTCTCTAAATTTCTCCCCGGTGTGCTTTGTTTACTGTACATTGTCATGATGGTAGCAGTGTGCCTGTGCTCAAAATGTGATTTCACACCTGCAGTGGTACATTCCACACTTCTGCATCTGATTTTGCAAGATATTTCTCTCTCTATCTCACTAAAACTGGCCAAAGTTACACTAAAAAAGTAAGAGTGTGGACATTAATCACAATACCCAAGTAGTAATTTTGTTCACTGGCAAATATCACACACACATACACTTTGATTTATATCACAATATTGCTTAGGAAAAAAAACCTGACAGCCATTGACTCCTCTCATAGTCTCAAGAGTTCATACAGTTCATATTTTAGCATCTGAATGCTTAAATCAAAGTATTGGCCAAGTGTATAAAAACCTGTGTCTACCCGCCACACTGCTAGACATTGGCCTTTATAAGGTTGGCGGTTTGAATGTGCATTGAAAATCAGGTTTGTGAGGAACATCACAGTGACAAAAAGCTTGGAAGAACCTTTAAAAAAAAGTTTTACAGAAGTCAGACATGCTGAGTTTCATTGGCTTAATTTAGATAACAACAGCTGTACCGCCTGAGACATTTACATGTCAGGAGCACACAGGAAAGACAATATATGAACATATTGTTATAAATAAAACAGTTATTACTTTCAGGCTACAGAATGCGATAACAAAAAGACGTTAGTTCTGGAAGCTGCAAGTCAAAATTACTGCCATAAATCAATGGCTTCACTCAACCTCTGGGGGACAAGTTAAAATGAAGACTGTTTTGCTATAGCTCCTTGTTCAACAAGTGCAACATTTCAGTCATATGTCTCAGTTCAAAACAAAACAAAACAAAACTGAATAATCTACACAGACAACCTTCCCAGAAATGAGAGTGCAGATACAATGGAATTTTTTCCTTACAGCACAAGATAAATAAAGGCAAAAGGATAAATTGCTGCTTAAGTTCAGCATTTGCCACTAAGTAACTTAACTTTAGAAAAGAGAAAGAGAAAAAGAGAGACTGGTACCAGCCCAGCCTTAGGCACGTCCTTCTTCTCCCCCTCCCCAAGTTTTCACGGCTCGAAATGTAGGAGAATTTTCACCAGCGCTAATTCGCTAATTAAGGAATGGAAGTGATGCTCTTTTAAGTTCAAGGAAGAGGGGAAAAAAAAAGAGAATAAGGAAATGACAAAGTAGCAATGCTTGGCAGAAAGAACAAATTGTTTTCCAAAAACAAACAAAGAAAAAAGTTAAATGAAGGATAATCAGCAACTTTAGTGGCAACTGGATGGAAATCATTTGTGCTTTAGTTTCTCAAACAAAAATCTCCCACTTCTGCCACTTCTCACACATGGACTCTGTATTATCCTTTCCACTTTGGTAGTTCTACGAAAATCCCACCATCGACTCCATGTCAGGAATATTCTTAACACTGTTCAATCCTGTGGCCCAGGAAAAGCCAGTTGCCAGTCCCCAAATCCACCCAAGGATTGGTGCTTGTGTTACAGTGCAGCTTTGACTAGGACTGTTGTGTGAGGCGACGGAAGTGAGGTAACACTTGGTTATCAGGAAGGTAAAGAGCTAACTCCAAAGCCACAAGAACAGTAAATTCAAATCCAATGAGATCTCGTCTGTTGAATCGGAATCTTTCTTCCAACTTCTGTAAAGGCAGAAAATAAATAAATATGGCACTGTGTTTTATATCATTGTTTACAACGGTTTGCATATTTTAATTGTCTGGCATACAACACCAAAGGTATTTTAGCGATGACATATTCTCCGTGCTAACTTTGAGGTAAATAAAACGGACTTCCCGTGAGTTGTGCTCCTGGTTATGACACAAGGAAACCCATGTTATTTTCTTGGCAAATCTATTTTCTGAGATGTTTTTTTAACTTCCCAGTCTAGCTACAGCCCTGGGATTTGCTTGTGGCCTCCCGTCCAAGTACAGCACTAGCCAGATCTGATCCTGTTCAGCTTTTCTGAGGTCATCCAAAGTTGGCTAGGTGCTGCCACCTGCTGACCTTCATAAAAGGTGCTAGCCCTGCTTAACTCTACACAAAAAAATTATTATTCATGGTTGTTTCCCAGTTCAAAAGCTGCTGAACGAATCTATACCGACAAAAATATACTTCTCACTGAGCTGGCAAAGCTGTAGTATCTCGTACTGAACTGAGTTCTCAGGTCTGAGTGCCTCATCCATTAAGGATACAATAAATTGCTTCCACCAAACAACTATTAAAATGCCAAAGTGGTGTATGAATGTAGTGTTTCTGATACACTCGTTCTCTCGGAGCAGGTATTTATTTCCTGTATGGAGAAACACTGAAGTGCGTAAATGCACACCGCTTACAACAGGCTGAATAACTTCTCAAGGACAGGAGACTGCAACTGACTAGCTGCGGCCAGAAGTGCTATCACGGGAATGATGGACATCACTAGAAGGGGTGGGACTGACCCCTTGTAAATGTTTTAAGGATAGGAAAGGGAGAAGGAAGACACCTGGAGACAAACTGTTCCCTCTCCCACCCTTAAAAATCCACTAATCCAGCAGAACCAACCTGACATACCATGAACATTTAGTGGCAAAGCAGAAACCTGGCCTGATTTCTAGCCGTTTCTGAGTGCTGACAGTGTGTGCGTGTGTGAAGTTGGAAATTGGGGCAGTCTGTCTCCTTCTTATCCAGGGGTGGGGATTACCATTTTGCTACCAAATTTCAATGGCCCCATCTCCACGTGGCCTGCAGGTGCCATTTCTGACCTATATTCTGAAATGCTACAGCCTGAAGACCAGACACAGATTTAGCAGCCCAGTGAGAGATACACCAAATTGTTACATACTATGATAGCAGGATATTCCACAGTGGAACTGTGTTTTGCTCTTCTGCAAAACTTACACTTTCACAATCGTGATCCATTGCTTTGCTGATATGTTTGGTGCAAAGGAAAGCTAGGATTAATTATGTTGCTTCAGGAGAATAACAGACCTTGGTGCTATCTTCTGGCAAAGAACCAAACTGCCTATGAATTGGCCAGTCAGCGATGATTCATTTAAAGCATATGGAGTGTGGTAATGAATTGAAGGACAGCAAAGAGCTGGCTTCAGTCCCTGCTCATTTATTTGAGAGTAAGTCTCTTCGAAAGGAGCAGGGCTTATTACCAGAAAGCATGAATAGAACTAGGGTGCCTAAAAAAATAACTCCAGAGCAACATATCCCAGAGAAAGAGGAGAAAAAGAAATTGCTTGATGCTATTAGCAGCAAGATAGCTAAGAGAATAGGAGAGGAAAGTTAAAAACAGATGCATATGAACAAATGGATCTGCTTAAAGAAAATTCAAATTATTCTGGCGATAACCAAGAAGACCCAGACCTAGTACAATTGAATTTGGTATCATTTCCAATTCCCAACTAACACGATCATTTGGTTGATGGACCGTTAAGTAAACAAGTTGGGGCTTGTGTTGCAGAGACAGCATTCTTTTCATCACAATCCTGACCTCCAAATGGCAGCTTTAAAGTGCTGCCAACAACTCAGCCCTGGATCTCTCTAAACCTCTCATGCCTTTACAATCACAACCAGGTGCAGGGTATTCTTACCAAAATTACTTAAAACTAACGTTGGGCCTCCAGTCTTCGTCAAAATGTATATATTTCCATTCAGTATTATTTGCAAGTCAGCAAAGATTTATGCAGCAAGTGTAGGAAAAAAAAAATCATTTGAGAATTTCAGCGTCGTCAGAGATCTGGATATCCTGGAAGATATTCCGGTGGTACTTACATCAATAAGGTGTTTGACTTCGTGTTTCCTGAGATCACTGCTAATCTTGGCGGCGAGCAGCACGCAAGCACCAGCACACAGTTTTCGGTTCTGTTTGTTGAGCTTGCCTTGAAGGACAAGCTTCTCAAAGTAGACGTAAGCCATGGACACAGTAATCGGCTCCAGGTTGCACTCCATACTCAGGGTCCGCATTTCTCTCTTTAAACTGCAAGGGAGAAGGAAGCGAAACAAGAATCAAGCTTCGATTTTCTCTAAGATTGCTAGATGGATGAGAGAAACGTCAGAACTAGCTGAAATATGTATGTTTTAGGATGGTCCTTTTGATAAAGAGGCAGAGAAAGGTGTGTTCTCTGATCTTTGCGGCTTCAGGAAGCAGCGCAGCACCCCATATATGTGAGGAGAGAGAATATAGGATCAGTCATGGTATTAAGATGAACATGGCTAAGGGGCAATCCCCACAGAGGGCTGTTCAACCAGAAGAAAATTGGGGAAAGGAGCAATTCTCTGACTTCTTTCCTGTAGATTAGAACTGAATTGTGCAATGTGTCTTGTTGCAGAATCAGAAATACCATCAACTACCAATGCTGTATGACAAGGAAATGTGGAACATTATAAGCCTGTGGAATAAAATATTTTTATTATTATCAGAAGGGAATGAAAGAACTAAAATGAAGCAGATGTTTTTTAGCATGCTTCTATTTCATGACATCAAGTCTGATCCAGGTTTACATAGAATTTCTTCAAAGTGCTTCCAGTCTGTTAGATATGCAGGGGAAGGACCTCAAGATGAACTAAACTAGACCGACACCCTAGAGAGAGATGGATCAAGTGGTAAAAAACAGAGGTATGCAAAATATTAAGAACTGAACATGTTTCAGGCTCAAAATGTTGTTTTGAGTTTAGAATGGTTGTTTGAAAATGGCTGTTCTAACCTCAAAGCGAGTGTTTCATCTTTACTATAACGGTTCCAAGCTTGAAGTGGGCCCACTTTTGTTTCAAGCTCAAGACACTTTAGTAAAGTTGAAACAGTGCCAGACACTCTCTGTCAGGTTGGAATAGTCTGGTTTAAGTTTGAAAGGTTTCAAATTTAAATACGTTTCACATCTCTAGTAAAAAAGTTGAAAGGACTGAAGCATAGTTAAGAACAAAAGCATTCAAAACATACTAGAGAGAACTGCTAATAGCTGATCTGGATGTAAAACAGAAGATGCAGAAAAATGGGTATGAAACCAGCTAAGAGCAAAACTTTTCCCAGTATCATCTTCATTTAAAACTGAAAGTAAACCAAATTGTTATGGTTCATATTTCATTGTGGGAATTAAATCTGTACTTAAGCTATATCACATCACATAGCAGCTATAGATCCATTTCAGAATGAAAGTCTGTACAAAACCCCCATTCCTAACTTAAGGTAATTAGCATGGAAAAAAAGAAGGAAGCCATAATTCCTCACCTCCCAACATCTTACGTTGCTATAGTCTTAACTATGTTGGTAGTCATAGAACATATTATGGGATGGAGCACTGAGTAAAAAACTTGTAAATTTAAATCTCAGAATTCATAAAAGTCAAGTTTGCAATATTACATGTACTTCCTCATTTATTAATACTTACGTAAGATTGGGCTGTAAATATTTACAGATAAAACCACCTTGTTACAACTTTAGATAGAAAGAAGCTTGTGCCAAAGGCGTGACTGAGAAACAAAGTGATTTTCACATCTCCCCAGCAGTTTTTTACCTTCTGATTTTGCTTAGGGTGAGCTTGATATGAGGAAATTTTTCTTTAAATGTTTCATTCATATCCTTTTTAAGATCTGAGGGCTTTACGTATTCGATCACGGTGGTCTGAAATAAAAACAGGATTCATTTACAAATCTGTACGGAGAAAGAGAATGTGAGTGAGATACCAAAAATATCTTGATAAGAGTATTCTATATCAAAGGGCAAGTTAGCGTCTTCCTCAGAAGTTCAGTTTGATCATGTTAATTTAATCATCTATTGGTCCGTAAGCCCTTTTCCTTCCCATGCTGGGTGGTTTGGTGCAGGGTTCCTCAACCTCAGCCACTTTAAGATGGGTGGACTTCAATTCCCATGGCTGGCTGGGGAATTCTGGGAGTTGAAATCCACCCATCTTAAAGTGGCTGAGGTTGAGGAACCCTGGTTTGGCAGACATTCGGTTGGCATTGCTTGAACACGACCACTCAGAAACCAGACATGTACAGAAAGCGTTTCTTGCATTCAATCTAACGCCAGCAGAACTATTTTGGATTACATCCCTTAACCCAATAAGTCTGAAACTGAAGCTGTTTTGACTGCCAGTTTAACAGAAGAACCACCAAATCCTTGGCTGAAACTCATGCACGTTTTCCCCTAAAAATCTCCTTGTTCAAGATAATTTGCTAAACACAATGTAGGACTAAAACCGTCAAACATTATACCTGACTTCACAATTATAGATCACAAAAACAGGCATATCATTTTTTTACAACGTTGATGAAATACAACGTTGATTACAACGTTATAAAATAGGCACTCTGATCCAAGTCTCTTACTTGGATATATTCAGATTTCAGTTAATTACTAACGGTTTGCCACTAGAATAGCCATAGTTAAGAAAAAACTAAACATTTTGCATAGTTATGTATCTCAATGACAGAACATAGTGAGAAGTCTGTCTGTCTGTCTGTCATCCATCCATCCATCCGGCTGCAATACAAGCAACTTTCAGCAGTTTACCTGATATAGAAACATTAAAACGTCTATGGCCATTCTTAAAATACAGGAAACAATTTAAAATAAAATAAAATAAGCCATAAAGTCCAAATACACAAAGTTTTATATATACACTTGCCATCTTTTATCTGTATCTTTTATGTTTTATTGCTTTTATTGTAATTTCTTTGACTGCTGTGAGCCACTCAGGCTCGTTAAGAAGTAACTACGAGGTAAAGCTAAAGTTACGATTGCTAGCACTTCCTAACTAGTAAGAACGCCTTCTGGAACATTAAGTTTTGTCTTAATATCCTCCTGAAAGAGCGGGCCAGTCTGATCTCTACTGGAAGACTGTCCCAGAGGACTAGCTCTACCACTGAAAAGCAGCATCTCCTGGCTTCATCTCCCTTCGTTTCCTAAAAGTGGGATACTAAGGACAGTTTCTCTCTGGATGACCTAACAGGTTGGGCTGACTGAGGTTAGAATAAGTGGTTCTGCAGGAACCCAGGTGCCAAGCAATAAAAGGCTTCATAGGTAGACACCAGCACTTTAAACTGTATTCAGAAGCCAACTGGCAGATGGTTACTAGTGCAAGGCCTACAGCACAGGCACAACATGCTCCCAGCGTTGGGTGCTAGTTAGCATATGGTCTGCTGAAATCTGGACTAACTGTACTTGCCGAGTAATCTTAAAGGCGGCCCCATGTAAAGTACATTGCAATAGCCCAGTTGGGTAGTAAGGAGGGACTGAGTTACTGTAGCCAGATCTCCTTGCACTAGGTAAGATTACAATTGATGCACCAGCCAGAGTTTGCCCTGCTTTTCCAGAGGTAGTGCTTGCCTATCCAAAGGTAACACTCGTGTCAATAGAGAACTACAATGTACCTCCATCTTACTTGGGTTCAAATTCAACCTGTTCTCTCCCATCCAGACCCTTACAGCTCCCAGGCACCAGGATAATAAGTCAATAGCATCTCCCCTACAACTTGGGTGGCAATGTATAATTGGGTATCATTAACATACCAATGATACTGCACCCCAAACTGTTGGATGACCTTTCCCAGTGACTTCATATAGATGTTGAAAAGTAGAGGAGACAGGACCTACCCCTGTGGCATCCCATTAGATAGGGGGCACTGAAAACGATCTCTTCTCTTCCACCACTGACTAAAATTGCCTGCTGAGGAAGGAGGAGAATCACTGCAGAACAGTGCCTCCAATCCCCAACCAAGCAGGTGGTCCTGGACACCAGGGACAATGGTACCAAATGCTGCTAGAGGTCTAAGAGGACCAGGAGAGGCACGGTACCCTCATCCAGGTCCCAACAAAGATAATAAATTATAGCAACTGTAATCAATGACATCTCAATACCATACCCAGGTCTGAACCCTGACTGAAACATGTCCAGATAATACACTTCATCTAGGGCAGTGTTTCTCAACCTAAGTCCACCCATCTTAAAGTTGTCAAGGTTGAGAAACACTGATCTAGAGTGTGATGTAGCTGTTCCACCACGACTGTCTCCACAACCTTCCTCAGGAAGGGAAGGCTGAACACCAGGCAACAGCTGTCTAAAACCAGTGGATCCAGAGCTGGCCTCTTCAGAAGGAGGTGTGCCACAGCTGCTTTCAAGGTTGCTGGCAATTCCCCCTCATCTGAAGAGGCATTGACAATCTTCCAGATCCAGCTGGTCATGCTGAATGCCTGCCTGCACCCAGTCACACCTACCTGCCCCATCAGGTATGGTAGGAAGGGCATGTTGCAGGTCCCATGCATGACGGAATGTCATCTGGTGGGACCCAGGAGGAGAGCCTTTTCTGCTGTGGCACCCGCTCTTTGGAGCATCATTCCCCCTGAGGTCAGACTGGGCCCAACCTTGTGGCCTTCTGGGAGGCCTTGAAAACATGGCTTTGCCATCTGGCTTGGGGATCTGGAAACATGGGTATGGAGCCTTCAAAGTGGCTGTACTGCTAGGGAAATTGAGTGTGCTCTCCCAGAGATTATATTTTTTAATGGTGTTTAGTAGTTTTTGATTATTTTTGTTATGGTTTGGATTATTTTGTTGTACAGGGAGTCCCCAGTTTAAGGGTTAGGGTTAGGGTTCGTCCTTGTACCGGGATCAGAGTCAAGCCCTTCCCTAACTAGGTCAATAGGGTAACAAGGGCAATCGCTTTTTCAAAGCCCTTTAATCATCGTTTAATCCTGCAATACCCGACGCTCCAAACACAATGCAGAACTGTGAGTTTGTGACGGTTGGGGTTGGGTAGTACAGCCCGAGCAGCAAATGCACAGGGCCTAGATACAAGATGGGTAATGGACGAAGTCAGTTGGAGGTGCGCAAGAGTAGGAAGGGCCAGTTTGCTTGGCTAACTGAAAGGCAGCAGTGGAACCGCAGCTCATTCGGATTTGCGTCTGCTCTCTAACAAAAGCCAGACACTGCTAGAGATCGTTAGAAAAGCATTACTACTCATCACCTGGTACTTGACCCTGGCAACTGAAATGATTTGCACTTCTCTGTGCTTCAAAGGGAAAAAGGACTTAATGCAGGCTTGTGATAATATTTGCATTGCCCTAGAGCAGTGTTTCTCAACCTCGGCAACTTTAAGACGGGTGGACTTCAACTCCCAGAAATCCCCCCCCCAAACCCTTTCTTTGTTGTGGGGGGTGCGGTAGAGATAAGGTACCAGCCTTAAAAAATTCAGGTTTGGAGGGTCTGTGACTTGCAGCGG